TCATACAGATTTCGATATTTTCCTGCCAACAGTTACTCAGTGATTAAGGAAATCACAACAAATCATGTTATTATCTTTTTTGCATTAAAAATGGCATAACATCGATTAATGCACAGTTTCCTTATTCCAGTAGTGTATGAGATGTTCCTGTATACAAAGAATCATTCTGGAACAATCACTGAAAATTGGTAAAAGCGAGTTTTATGTTTGTATCTATAGAACCAAATCCTTTTCGTGGCACACAAACATCTTTCAAACAACCGTTTGGAATCAAGAGACCTGTTTCTACAAAACGGTTTTTTCTCGTGCCAGGTATGCATCCACAACACCTTGCCCAGGCCGCCGCATACATGAATTGGTTTCAGCTGGAGATGTAAACCTATTTTTACACCAAGAATCCAATAGGTTTTAATTGATGCCTCGTTTGTCTTGTTTGTGGCAGGTGCTCGTGCCTGAATATGCAACAGGAGCCAGCGACAGAAGACAACGCCCGCTTACTGATGTGGCCTGAACGTGCAGTGATGAAGTTTACCACAGCCTTAGTGTCCACCACTCCCAACCACATCCAGCCAAAGTACACCGTATTGACGACGGCCGACACACTGGGTTCAAGCCTAATATGTTTAGGGCTCCAGTACAGAGATGGCCAAATTGGATTACTGGAGTCTGTGTTTATGTGTTCGCGAAGAGATCGCCCCAGCTTAAAACACTTAATCAACGCTACTTCAGCTTGGTTTACAGACGTGTGACCGCAGGTTCAAGGACACTGGAAGATATGGTTTGCCTTCAAACCATCTTATGTTTAATTCGACTTAACAAGGCTCAACGACACAACAGGTCCCTCTTTCACACAGCGTCATTTCACGTCAAGTAGAATTAATGTTTCAGTTTTTGTGTATTTTTTCTACATCGTAAAATCAAAAATGCACATTATGCCACTCACTTCATGCAAGCACAAATAAGTCCTTCATGCTCCGTGTTTTAAAAGTCGTTGGAATTTCACGTATTCTTTGTAATGTTTCACTTTTGCCGTGTCTAACAGTATTACTAGAGTCAAATATTTGCAAAGGGGATCAATTTTCATTTGATCTTATCTAAATGTTTCATGTTAGATTTGTACATTGATAATGCTCTCAATCAAAGTGAAAGTTGGTTTTGAACGTGAGGCGGATGTTTCAACGAAATACAATGTAAAGTATGAGGTCGACTGCAGTCCACTGTGGCTACTGTCTGCGGGGATGTTTGCCCAATGTGTCCATCAATAGAATCCCTGCTCTCCCGTGCTGCCCTCTATCTGGCTTCCGGACTACAGAGTGTGGCTTCCATTTGGTGGTAAGAGGAAATCGGTGTACTCCTGCGCTCATATTTACACAGAGTATCGGTCTGATCAGGACACTGGTGTGTGTAGCCAAGCGATAGCTGCGATTACTTCAAGCTCATCCCTCGGGATGACCACGCTCTGGTATTTCCATAAACATCTATCCCAAAATTGAATTAAAACATTTTTCCAGAAAAAGACACCTTTCAACTGAATACATGTATTTAACATCGCAAGCCCTAATTATAAAAATATCGTTTAATCAAAATTGAACGTGAAATGTTCCAGGCTTTTCTTGTGATTCGCATCTATCTCATTACACTATCTGACGCTAATAGAAACATGTCAAGGCTGAATCCATCAACATCTTTCAACTCAACCATCACTCAAAACCTCAATGCAATTTCCAGGGTAACACAGTAATCATCTGCATATAGCAGAAGCCAGTGGCCATTCAGGGCGGACACGCTCTGGCCGCCGAGCCATCTATCTCTATCTATCTATCTATCTATCTATCTATCTATCTATCTATCTGTCTGTCTGTCTGATCTGTAATTCCATCATCTATCCCCTCATCCATGCCCTGTATCTGTAACACCTATACGTCCATCCATACCTTAAATCTGTAACACCCATCCCTTTATCCATGCCCTCCATCTGTAACACCCATGCCTCTATCCATGCCCTCCATCTGTAACACCCAACCCTCTATCCATGCCCTCCATCTGTAAACACCCTCTATCTGTGCCCTCCATCCATCCCTCTATCCATGCCTCCATCTGTAACACCCACCCTCTATCCATGCCCTCCATCTGTAACACCCATCCCTCTATCCATGCCCTCCATCTGTAACACCCACCCTTCTATCCATGCCCTCCATCTGTAACACCCATCCCTCTATCCATGCCCTCCATCTGTAACACCCATGCCTCTATCCATGCCCTCCATCTGTAACACCCATCCCTATATCCATGCCCTCCATCTGTAACACCCATGCCTCTATCCATGTCCCTCCATCTGTAACACCCATCCCTCTATCCATGCCCTCCATCTGTAACACCCATCCCCATCCTCCCATCCATGCCCCCCATCTGTAACACCCATCCCTCTATCCATGCCCCTCCATATGTAACACCCATCCCTCTATCCATGCCCTCCATCTGTAACACCCATCCCTCTATCCATGCCCTCCATCTGTAACACCCATCCCTCTATCCATGCCCACTCCATCTGTAACACCCATCCTCTATCCATGCCCTCCATCTGTAACACCCATCCCTCTATCCATGCCCTCCATGCACACCCATCCCTCTATCCATGCCTCCTGTAACACACCCATCCCTCTATCCATGCCCTCCATCTGTAACACCCATCCCTCTATCCATGCCCTCCATCTGTAACACCCATCCCTCTATCCATGCCCTCCATATGTAACACCCATCCATGCCTCTATCCATGCCCCCATCCATATGTAACACCCATCCCTCTATCCATGCCCCTCCATCTGTAACACCCATCCCTCTATCCATGCCCTCCATCTGTAACACCCATGCCCTCTATCCATGCCCTCCATCTGTAACACCCATCCTCTATCCATGCCCTCCATCTGTAACACCCATCCCTCTATCCATGCCCTCCATCTGTAACACCCATGCCTCTATCCATGCCCTCCATCTGTAACACCCCTCTATCCCTCTATCTATGCCCTCCATCTGTAACACCCCTCCCTCTATCCATGCCATGTAACACCCATCCCTCTATCCATGTGTGTAACACCCATGCCTCTATCCATGCCCTCCATATGTAACACCCATCCCTCTATCCACCCATGCCTCTATCCATGCCATCTGTAACACCCATCCTCTATCCATGCCTCCCCATCTGTAACACACCCATGCTTCTATCCATGCCCTCCATCTGTAACATCCATGCCCTATCCATCTATCCATCCTCTATCCATGCCCTCCATCTGTAACACCCCATCCCTATATCCATGCCCTCCCATCTGTAACACCCATCCCTCTATCCATGCCCTCCATCTGTAACACCCCCATCCCTCTATCCATGCCCCTCCATCTGTAACACCCATCCCCTCTATCCATGCCCTCCATCTGTAACACCCAATCCTCTCTATCCATGCCCTCCATCTGTAACACCCATCCCTCTATCCATGCCCTCCATCTGTAACACCCATCCCTCCTATCCATGCCCCCTCCATCTGTAACACACCCATGCCTCTATCCATGCCCTCCATCTGTAACACACCCATCCATGCCCTCTATCTATCCATGCCCTCCATCTGTAACACCCATCCCTCTATCCATGCCCTCCATCTGTAACACCCATCCCTCTATCCATGCCTCTATCCATGCCCTCCATCTGTAACACCCATCCTCTATCCATGCCCTCCATCTGTAACACCCATCCCTCTATCCATGCCCTCCATCTGTAACACCCATGCCTCTATCCATGCCCTCCATATGTAACACCCATCCCTCTATCCATGCCCTCCATCTGTAACACCCATGCCTCTATCCATGCCCTCCATATGTAACACCCATCCCTCTATCAATGCTCTATATTTGTAACACCCATCCCTATATCCATGCCCTCCATCTGTAACACCCATGCCTCTATCCATGCCCTCCATATGTAACACCCATCCCTCTATCCATGCCCTCCATCTGTAACACCCATCCCTATATCCATGCCCTCCATCTGTAACACCCATGCCTCTATCCATGCCCTCCATATGTAACACCCATCCCTCTATCCATGCCCTCCATATGTAACACCCATCCCATCTATATCCATGCTCTCCATTTGTAACACCCATCCCTCTATCCATGCCCTCCATCTGTAACACCCATGCCTCTATCCATGCCCTCCATATGTAACACCCATCCCTATATCCATGCCCTCCATCTGTAACACCCATGCCTCTATCCATGCCCTCCATATGTAACACCCATCCCTCTATCCATGCTCTATATTTGTAACACCCATCCCTCTATCCATGCCCTCCATATGTAACACCCTCCATCCCCCTCTATCCATGCCCTCCATCTGTAACACCCATCCCTCTATCCATGCCCTCCATCTGTAACACCCTCCATCCCTCTAACACCCATGCCCTCCATATCTAACACCCATGCCTCTATCCATGCCCTCCATCTGTAACACCCATCCCTCTATCCATGCCCTCCATCTGTAACACCCATGCCTCTATCCATGCCCTCCATCTGTAACACCCATCCCTCTATCCATGCCCTCCATCTGTAACACCCATCCCTCTATCCATGCCCTCCATCTGTAACACCCATCCCTCTATCCATGCCCTCCATCTGTAACACTCATCCCTCTATCCATGCTCTATATTTGTAACACACATCCCTGTATCCATTCCTCCGTAGCTTTCATTACTAACCAGGGCCTAGATTTTCGAAGCTCTATTTGCGCTAAGATAGTATGGCACTTACGACTATCGTAGCGCTAAGAGAGCTTCGAAAATCTAGGCCCAGATCGCTATCTACTAACACATACCAATTATCTAAACAGAATATACTTTCCAAAATTTGTCTACATGTCTACACCTAAATTCTTTGATCTACCCGTCAATTGAGCCTGTCACCCTGGACTGGGTTAGCACCAGGAATGTTATGTGAGTACGACTCGGGTGTACCTTGATGAGCGGATGCCGTGGCATGCCGTCACCTATCCTACCCATCACGATAGGGTCCTTGAACTTTGACAACCGTTGGAACTCCTCTCGACAGTCCTTGATGACAATCGGGGCAACCTGGTCACGTGACTTGAGCACATGGTCTTGTCCATTCCCTGTATCCCCGTGGGCTGAAAGTGAAGGTGATGACGGTATATCGATTGAGTGCTGGTCACTTTACCGGCCACTGAACTCGCTGTATAAAGCTTATTATTGAATACAGACTGGGGCTACAGCTTAAACTGCATAATGAACCTACATTAATATAACCGTCAGTATGTCATATTTATGATGTACAAACAAAGTGGGTGTTGGAACACACGAGAGCTCGATGACACAGGTAGCGAGTCCACACCGCGACTACCCGCACTGTAGATACTGCAATTAACAAGATAGGCGCATGCTGCTGAACCAGGGGAGGCGGAAGGAGGTGGCGATACTGACAAGGAACTATGTCAATCTAAGCAATGGTAGAAACACAGTTCAGCATACATGTCGGGGATCGAAAGTTGGGAACTATGAGGTAGATAGTTTATTAGTATCCGTGTTGGCAATACAAGGGGAAACTAGCCGATATATGGTATATCAGTAGACGTGTTGGCAATACAAGGGGAAACTAGCCGGATATATGGTATATCGGTAGACGTGTTGGCAATACAAGGGGAAACTAGCTGGATATATGGTATATCGGTAGACGTGTTGGCAATACAAGGGGAAACTAGCCGGATATATGGTATATCGGTAGACGTGTTGGCAATACAAGGGGAAACTAGCCGGATATATGGTATATCGGTAGACGTGTTGGCAATACAAGGGGAAACTAGCCGGATATATGGTATATCGGTAGACGTGTTGGCAATACAAGGGGAAACTAGCCGGATATATGGTATATCGGTAGACGTGTTGGCAATACAAGGGGAAACTAGCTGGATATATGGTATACAAAGGGATATATGGTATATCGGTAGACGTGTTGGCAATACAAGGTAGACGTGTTGGCAATACAAGGGAAACTAGCCGGATATATGGTATATCGGTAGACAGTGTTGGCAATACAAGGGGAAACTAGCCGGATATATGGTATATCGGTAGCAGTGTTGGCAATACAAGGGGAAACTAGCCGGATATATGGTATATCGGTAGCAGTGTTGGCAATACAAGGGGAAACTAGCCGGATATATGGTATATCGGTAGACGTGTTGGCAATACAAGGGGAAACTAGCCGGATATATGGTATATCGGTAGACGTGTTGGCAATACAAGGGGAAACTAGCCGGATATTATACAAGGAAACTAGCCGGATATATGGTATATCGGTAGACGTGTTGGCAATACAAGGGGAAACTAGCCGGATATATGGTATTTCGGTAGACGTGTTGGCAATACAAGGGGAAACTAGCCGGATATATGGTATATCGGTAGCAGTGTTGGCAATACAAGGGGAAACTAGCCGGATATATGGTATATCGGTAGCAGTGTTGGCAATACAAGGGAAAATGGAGAGGTACATGAAATATTGATGTTGTGATGGATGGAGAATATTGACAGTGTAGATGTGAGGTATGGAGAATAACGAGAATGGTAGATGGTATATTGACAATGTAGAGGTGAGGTATGGAGGATAACGAGAATGGTAGATGACATATTGACAATGTAGAGGTGAGGTATGGGGGATAACGAGAATGGGAGATGGTATATTGACAATGTTCTCTAGGTGATGGATGGAGAATAACGAGAATGGTAGCTGGTATATTGACAATGTGGAAGTGAGGTATGGGGGATGACGAGAATGGTAGATGGTATATTGACAATGTAGATGTGAGGTATGGGGGTTATACGAGAATGGTAGATGGTATATTGACAATGTAGAGGTGAGGTATGGGAGATAACGAGAATGGTAGATGGTATATTGACAATGTAGAAGTGAGGTATGGAGGATAACGAGAATGGTAGATGGTATATTGACAATGTAGAGGTGAGGTATGGAGGATAACGAGAATGGTAGATGGTATATTGACAATGTAGAGGTGAGGTATGGGGATAACGAGAATGGTAGATGGTATATTGACATTGTTCAGGTGAGGTATGGAGAATAACGAGAATGGTAGATGGTATATTGACAATGTGGAAGTGAGGTATGGGGGATGACGAGAATGGTAGATGGTATATTGACAGTGTAGATGTGAGGTATGGAGCATAACGAGAATGGTAGATGGTATATTGACAGGGTAGATGTGAGGTATGGAGAATAACGAGAATGGTAGATGGTATATTGACAGTGTAGATGTGAGGTATGGAGAATAACGAGAATGGTAGATGGTATATTGACATTGTGGAAGTGAGGTATGGAGAATAACGAGAATGGTAGATGGTATATTGACATTGTGGAGGTGAGGTATGAGAAAAAACGAGAATGGTAGATGGTATATTGACAATGTAGATGTGAGGTATGGAGAATAACGAGAATGGTAGATGGTATATTGACAGGGTAGAGGTGAGGTATGGAGAATAACGAGAATGGTAGATGGTATATTGACAATGTTTTCTAGGTGATGGATGGAGAGTAACGAGAATGGTAGATGGTATATTGACAATGTAGATGTGAGGTATGGAGAATAACGAGAATGGTAGATAACAATGTTTAGATGTGTGACTCTGTTTGCTCCAATAATCGATGAAGGCCGTGCGCCGTGCTCGGAGTAGAAGCGAAATATGATTAACGGGAAAAGGGTTACGTGATTGCCTGATATCAAGACAATGGTTACTGCGTTTTCGGAAAGGGGTTTAAGTTTTGCTTACATTCTATTAAGTCAATGGTTACAGAGTAGAATCAAAGGGTTGAACTGGTTGATTAAATAGTGTATATACGAATGTTACAGTGTTGAAGGTAGTGAGTAAGTCAGTTTGGTTAACTCCGCTTTTACACCGTCTCCCAGGTATATCAGCTTAATGTTGGAGGGAAGATCGGGGTGATGCAGGTGTATACACAGACCTTGCAGCATCATCGGGGTGATGTATCACAGAAAGGTGCATCACAGGTTTCTGGTGTGTAAAGCATGATCAGGGTGATGCAGGTGTATACACAGACCTTGCAGCATCATCGATCCGTGATGCAGTGTATCCACAGACCTTGCAGCATCATCGGGATGATGCATCCGTGACAATGTGATGCAGGTGTATACACAGACCTTGCAGCATCATCGGGGTGATGCAGGTGTATACACAGACCTTGCAGCATCATCGGGGTGATGCAGGTGTATACACAGACCTTGCAGCATCATCGGGGTGATGCAGGTGTATACACAGACCTTGCAGCATCATCGGGGTGTGATTCGTGGTGTATACCTGATGTGATCCTTACAGACCTTGCAGCATCATCGGGGCCACCTTGTATCCGAAACCATGATCACAGGTTTCTGGTGTGTAAAGCTTATTGCAGGATGTGATGGGGTGGAGTCCTGCCTTGCTGAGGGATGTGATTCGTGACAATGTGATCCCTTACCTTGCTGTGGGATGTGATCCGTGACAATGTGATCCCTTACCTTGCTGTGGGGTGTGATCCGTGACAATGTGATCCCTTACCTTTCTGTTGGATGCCATCCGTGACAGTGTGATCCTTACCTTGCTGTGGGGTGTGATCCGTGACAGTGTGATCCCTTACCTTGCTGTGGGGTGTGATCCGTGAGAGTGTGATCCCTTACCTTGCTGTGGGATGGCATCCGTGACAGTGTGATCCCTTACCTTGCTGTGGGATGTGATCCGTGACAGTGTGATCCCTTACCTTGCTGTGGGGTGTGATCCGTGACAGTGTGATCCCTTACCTTGCTGTTGGATGCCATCCGTGACAGTGTGATCCCTTATCTTGCTGTGGGGGGTGTGATCCGTATCCCAGTGTTGTGATCCCAATGTGATCCCTTACCTTGCTGTTCGATGCCATCCGTGACAGTGTGATCCCTTACCTTGCTGAGGGATGTGATTCGTGACAATGTGATCCCTTACCTTGCTGTGGGATGTGATCCGTGACAATGTGATCCCTTACCTTGCTGTGGGGTGTGATCCGCGACAGTGTGATCCCTTACCTTGCTGTTGGATGCCATCCGTGACAATGTGATCAATTACCTTGCCGTGGGATGCCATCCGTGACGATGTGATCCCTCACCTTGCTACGAGATGTGATCCGTGACAATATGATTCCTTACCTTGCTGTGGGATGTGATCCGTGACAATATGATCCCTATCCTTGCTATGGGATGTGATCCGTGACAATGTGATCCCTTACCTGCTATGGGATGTGATCCGTGACAATGTGATCCCTTACCTTGCTATGGGATGTGATGCGTAACAATATGTTCCCTTACCTTGCTATGGGATGTGATCCGTGATGATGTGATCCCTTACCTTGCAATGGGATGTGATGCGTGACAATATGATCTCTCACCTTGCCGTTGGATGTGATGCGTGACAATGTGATTTCTCACCTTGCCGTTGGATGTGATCCGTGACAATATGATCCCTTACCTTGCTGTGGGATGTGATTCCGGTTGGTTGGGGACGGAGGAGGGCTGATATTGCTGGCAGCGCTTCCCATGGTACTACCTCTGAGAATCACTCCACACTGTACGATATGCTGATAAATCACTACTAGTCCTCCAAATATGAACGTTTCCGTAAGAGGTTGTCCTGTTTGCTTGTGTTCATGTTAACATGGGGCTTCCTGCAGTGTCATGTTCCCATAGTCTAATGTGCGAGAGATGTTTACGAGTCCACAGCGCTGCCGATCTGCATGGTAGGGAGGCGGTAACTCAGGGCGCGCGATCACGAACGGTGAAGGCTCCCTCGCTTCTTAAACTCTGTTATCACTGTTAGTAGAAGTACAGAACTGAAGTCTACAGTAGTGGACATCACCATGGAAACACATATAACAGGTATATAATTAGAGGCCCGAGTCAGGTTGCTATGGAGACATGTGACACGACACCGAGTGGTGGTGCTAAATTTCCCTTATGGTGTCTCTTAACAGGTAGGTTGTCCACTTAAAGAAACAGGTGACTAAAAACAAACTTGATTAGCGTAACGTATTTCAACACCTGTCCACACTGATCCGATGCAACGGTCTCCTCCTGCCGTGCCAGCGTTGTCCGTGGCGAGCAGGATAAAGGGACGCAGTGTAGCAGCGGTCGTGGGTGAGCGCCGCGATGGTACCGCTAACCATACAGCTGACTAGCAGTAATTATCGGTCTGCCGACACCTTCTGTCTCCTTTCTCTGTAATGGCCACAATAGGGTGCATTAGATCAAAATGAACAATGAAATGGTGGCTCTCGATCTATATGGAGCCCCGAAAATTGACGCAGTGTTTGCCCGGGGAACATAGTTTCGTGATAAACCGTAAATAAAGTCACGTGATCACCTTGAAGCGCTGGCTCATGGGACTGATTGCATGTCGCTTTTAATTCAGCACGAAGCTGACGGTGGAGCTGCAGCAAACATCACCCAGTAATTACATTATCCTCCACTGTTTCGGGCGGAATCATACAAAACAGAGACGGCGATGGAACGAGGTTTTTCATCAAAATTGAAGAACTTTCTCAGCAAACCCGAAGATAAAACATTTATCTTTCCTACATAGACGACGTCGAGTAGTTCCAGAGGAGGCAGCACACACTGCGAAGGTCAAACAGACGTAACAGGTCGCATTTGGTCCAGGCAAACCAAGGCGGGTTGTTACGTCATATAGACCACTGTTGTCAGCGTAGATGGCGTCACAACGCAGCACAAGAACATATACTGGAACTGCGTCAGGCTATAACACACCATTGTAATATATACTGGAACTGCGTCAGGCTATGACACACCATTGTAATATATACTGGAACTGCGTCAGGCTATAACACACCATTGTAATATATACTGGAACTGCGTAACACTATAACACACCATTGTAATATATACTGGAACTGCGTAACACTATAACACACCATTGTAATATATACTGGAACTGCGTCAGGCTACGACACACCATTGTAATATATACTGGAACTGCGTCAGGCTACGACACACCATTGTAATATATACTGGAACTGCGTAACGTTATAACACACCATTGTAATATATACTGGAACTGCATCAGGCTATAACACATCATTGTAATATATACTGGAACTGCGTAACGCTATAACACACCATTGTAATATATACTGGAACTCCGTCAGGCTATGACACACCATTGTAATATATACTGGAACTGCGTCAGGCTATAACACACCATTGTAATATATACTGGAACTGCGTCAGGCTATAACACACCATTGTAATATATACTGGAACTGCGTCAGGCTATAACACACCATTGTAATATATACTGGAACTGCGTCAGGCTATGACACACCATTGTAATATATACTGGAACTGCATCAGTCTATAACACACCATTGTAATATATACTGGAACTGCGTAACGCCATAACACACCATTGTAATATATACTGGAACTGCGTCAGGCTATAACACACCATTGTAATATATACTGGAACTGCGTAACACTATAACACACCATTGTAATATATACTGGAACTGCGTCAGGCTATAACACACCATTGTAATATATACTGGAACTGCGTCAGGCTATGACACACCATTGTAATATATACTGGAACTGCGTCAGGCTATAACACACCATTGTAATATATACTGGAACTGCGTCAGGCTATAACACACCATTGTAATATATACTGGAACTGCGTCAGGCTATAACACACCATTGTAATATATACTGGAACTGCGTCAGGCTATAACACACCATTGTAATATATACTGGAACTGCGTCAGGCTATAACACACCATTGTAATATATACTGGAACTGCGTCAGGCTATGACACACCATTGTAATATATACTGGAACTGCGTCAGGCTATGACACACCATTGTAATATATACTGGAACTGCGTAACGCTATAACACACCATTGTAATATATACTGGAACTGCGTCAGGCTACGACACACCATTGTAATATATACTGGAACTGCGTCAGGCTACGACACACCATTGTAATATATACTGGAACTGCGTCGAGGCTACGACACCATTGTACACCATTGTAATATTATACTGGAACTGCGTCAGGCTATGACACACCATTGTAATATGTACTGGAACTGCGTCAGGGCTTTGACACACCATTGTATTATATACTGGAACTGCGTCAGGCTATGACACACCATTGTAATATATACTGGAACTGCGTCAGGCTATGACACACCATTGTAATATATACTGGAACTGCGTCAGGCTATGACACACCATTGTAATATATACTGGAACTGCGTCAGGCTATGACACACCATTGTAATATATACTGGAACTGCGTCAGGCTATGACACACCATTGTAATATATACTGGAACTGCGTCAGGCTATGACACACCATTGTAATATATACTGGAACTGCGTCAGGCTACGACACACCATTGTAATATATACTGGAACTGCGTCAGGCTATGACACACCATTGTAATATATACTGGAACTGCGTCAGGCTATGACACACCAATGTAATATATACTGGAACTGCGTCAGGCTATGACACACCATTGTAATATATACTGGAACTGCGTCAGGCTATGACACACCATTGTAATATATACTGGAACTGCGTCAGGCTATAACACACCATTGTAATATATACTGGAACTGCGTCAGGCTATGACACACCATTGTAATATATACTGGAACTGCGTCAGGCTATAACACACCATTGTAATATATACTGGAACTGCGTCAGGCTATGACACACCATTGTAATATATACTGGAACTGCGTCAGGCTATGACACACCATTGTAATATATACTGGAACTGCGTCAGGCTATGACACACCATTGTAATATATACTGGAACTGCGTCAGGCTATGACACACCATTGTAATATATACTGGAACTGCGTCAGGCTATGACACACCATTGTAATGGTGTTAAATTGTTATGACATAGGTGTGTTCAAGTGATTGGTACGAGGTTGTTTTGTCATAAATGTGCTGAAGTGATTGGTACGAGGTTGTTTTGTCCTAAATGTGCTCAAGTGATTGGTACGAGGTTGTTTTGACATAAATGTGCTGAAGTGATTGGTACGAGGTTGTTATGACATAGGTATGTTCAAGTGATTGGTACGAGGTTGTTTTGACATAAATGTGCTCAAGTGATTGGTACGAGGTTGTTATGACATAGGTGTGTTCAAGTGATTGGTACGAGGTTGTTTTGACAAATTAGTGTTCAGGTGATTGAAACACAGCTGGCTTGATAAGGTGTGCTTAAGTGATTGAAACACAGCTGGCTTGATAAGGTGTGCTAAAGTGATTGAAACACAGCTGGCTTGATAAGGTGTGCTTAAGTGATTGGAAAGAGGTTCATATGACAAAGGTTTGCTCCGATGATTGGTACAGACAATAGTCATACGACTGTTCTGATATTCTGTGTGATTGCTTCGAAATGTCAAGTACTTGCAGGTAATGTTTCGGTGTTGATGCACTGCCGGGTTGTCGGATTGGTGTGTCTACAGAGGTGTCTGATATGACTGTCTGGCAAACGACACTAATGTCTGCAAGGTTGTCCGATATCTGGCAAATGTTGTGGTGTCCAAAGACTGTCCAATATCTATCTTTGACAGAACATTTGTTGTCTTCAGAGGTAATGAGGCAGTGTTATTCTCTGTGAGACATAGTCGCTATTGAATTCCATTGTTACCTGTAAGGGTGTTGGGGAGCAGTGGTTTGCTACTTATTATATGCAGAGCAAATCTGGGGGCTGGAAGAATTTAGGGCGTTCGGAATAGTCCAGTGGTATCCGACCAGTGAGAAACACCTGGAAGCATATGATACATACACATGTGCATTACTTATGCGCCACCTGAATCGAAAGGAATTTTATAATCTTTGTTCACACATTCTATCATTCTCGTGATTCACTCAATGTCTCGGAAGCTATGGGTTGAATGTTCATATGCTGCGAAAGTGCCAAGTACATTGGGTTATATATTTCATAATTACAGTAGGTGTACTGCAGTTTTTCCAACTGAATTATAATACGGCAGTAGAATCTACTGCATATTAACCTTTCTTGACAAGGCAAGACGTAGACTTTCACAACATACACGATAGCAAGTTATTGGATCGATAGTTTGTCTCAACACCTTTGCTCAACTGGACATTAACGCGGTTAGTAGTCGACTAGTGAGGAAACACTTGGCAATCGGTGGAGTTTGGTTTGGTTTTTGTTTTACACCGCACTCAACAATATTCCAGCTATATGGAGACATAAGACTTTGGTGTCTACAGGACTGTAGGAGATCTGTATCTGACATATGACTGTGGTGTCTACAGGACTGTAGGAGATCTGTACCTGACACACGACTGTGGTGTGTACATACAGGACTGTAGGAGATATGTACCTGACATACGACTGTGGTGTCTACAGGACTGTAAGAGATCTGTACCTGACATACGACTGTGGTGTCTACAGGACTGTAGGAGATCTGTATCTGACAATTGACTGTGGTGTCTACAGGACTGTAGGAGATCTGTACCTGACATACGACTGTGGTGTCTACAGGACTGTAGGAGATCTGTACCTGACATACGACTGTGGTGTCTACAGGACTGTAGGAGATCTGTACCTGACATACGACTGTGGTGTCTACAGGACTGTAGGAGATCTGTACCCTGACATATACGTCTGTGGTGTCTACAGGACTGTAGGAGATCTGTACCTGACATACGACTGTGGTGTCTACAGGACTGTAGGAGACATGTACCTGACATACGTCTGTGGTGTCTACAGGACTGTAGGAGATCTGTACCTGACATACGACTGTGGTGTCTACAGGACTGTAGGAGACATGTACCTGACATACGACTGTGGTGTCTACAGGACTGTAGGAGATCTGTACCTGACATACGACTGTGGTGTCTACAGGGACTGTAGGAGATCTGTACCTGACATACGTCTGTGGTGTCTACAGGACTGTAGGAGAGATCTGTACCTGACATACGACTGTGGTGTCTACAGGACTGTAGGAGATCTGTACCTGACATACGACTGTGGTGTCTACAGGACTGTAGGAGAGATCTGTACCTGACATACGTCTGTGGTGTCTACAGGACTGTAGGAGACATACGTCTGTGTACCTGACATACGACTGTGGTGTCTACAGGACTGTAGGAGATCTGTACCTGACATACGTCTGTGGTGTCTACAGGACTGTAGGAGATCTGTACCTGACATACGTCTGTGGTGTCTACAGGACTGTAGGAGATCTGTACCTGACATACGACTGTGGTGTC